CCCTTCTTCTCTTGCCCTCCATCTTTCCCAGAATTAGGCTCTTCTCCAGTGAGTCCTTCCTTCTCATTAGGTGGCCAAAGGACTTGAGTTTAAACTTCAGGATCTGGCCTTCTAAAGCAGTGGTTCTCAACCTTTCTAATGCCGCGACCCCATAATACAATTCCCCATGTTGTGATGACCCCCAACCACTTATACATCACCGGGTGCCAGGGGCATGGCCAAAGAAAAGGGGGGAAAAATGTCGGACAGCCTTGTTTGGCGACCCCCGTGAAATGGTCGTTCGACCCCAAATGGGGTCCCGACCCACAGGTTGAGAACCACTGTTCTAAAGAGCAGTCGGGGTTGATCTCCTCTAGGACTGACCGGTTGGATCGCCTTGCAGTCCAGGGGACTCGCAGGAGTCTTCTCCAGCACCAGAGTTCAAAGGCCTCCATTCTTTGGCGCTCGACCTTTCTTACGGTCCAACTTTCACAGCCATACATTGCAACTGGGAAAAGGTCAGCTAAATACAGCCTATGTCAACTGGTAGACATCCTTGTGTCCAGGATTATTCAGAAGCAGCAATTAACTCCAAGTACAGCAGATCAGGATTTTGATTGGGACACTCTTACTTCCTCAGAATTGAGGTTTACAAACTAGTTCACATCTGGCTCTTGACCTTTAAAATCTATCTGAGTTTGGGACCCCCCCGTATTTCAACCATCAGCTCCTCCATATTAATATGCAGCCATTTATACGAAGATCAAAAAACGCTTCTTCACAACTGTACTCATAAACACACCTATGCAGAGGGAGATGCATTTTAAAATGTCGGAATGAAGAGGGACAATTATTTGGTGGATCCAATTTGCAATTTTAGTCCAATATACCAGCTTATCATTTCATTTGCTATTATTTTTCATGGAAAATAATACGGTACAGGGAGTCCTCGACTTATGAGAATCGAGCCCAACATTTCTGCTGTTAAGGCAGTGGTTCTTAACCTTTCTAATGCCGCGACCCCATAATACAGTTCCCCATGTTGTGGTGACCCCCCAACCACTTATACATCACCGGGTGCCAGGGGCATGGCCAAAGAAAAGGGGAAAAAATGGCGGACAGCCTTGTTTGGCGACCCCCATGAAATGGTCGTTCGACCCCAAATGGGGTCCCGACCCACAGGTTGAGAACCACTGTGTTAAGGGAAGGCAGATAGGAGGCAGCTATGGATACCTTGCTGTCTTGGGAAATGTAATGTATTCTTCCCTGACACACAGATTCACCTTGGTCACATCCAAAATCCTCAACTCAAGGGTTACACAAATGGTCTCTTCGTTCGTCAGCAGGAAGGTCAAGCCGTCGCGGTTAAATACCGGCATTCGTTTTCCGTGAACCTCGTCGCTATACAGACAGTCCTCAACGTAATGACGTAATGTTGTTCAGTGAGATATTCGTTAAGTGAATTTTCCCCCCTTTTACGACCTTTCTTGCCACAGTTGTTACTAGGAATCACCGTAGTTGATAAGTTAGGAACACAGCTGTTAAGTGAATCTGGCTTCCTCGTTGATTTTTTGCCTGTCAGAAGCCGCAAAAGGAGACCACGTGCCCTGGGACACCACAACGGTCGTAAGTATGAGTCGGTTGCCAAGCGTTTGAATTTTGATCACGTGACCGTGAGGGGGCTACAAAGGTCATAAGTGGGAAAAACGGTCGTAAGTCACTTCTTTTCAGTGCCGTTCAGAACGGTGACTAAATGAACTGAGGTAAATGAACTCCCTGAGGTAAATGAATTTTCTACACCCGCTCCTGTTTTCTCTGTCGCTTGACTGCTTGACCTATTCTTACAGAGGACTAGCAACATTTATTTTTATTTTTCTTACTTCACGGAGCAAAGCCCTGCAATTCCTTCAAGTGCCTTTCATTTATAAGGAGGAGAAGGCACGTCCCGAAAATATCAAAGGACAAAGACTACCTGGTCTTAATCCAGCTTTTCGTTGTTGAGATCTTTCCTATTATGTGGCCTGGTTAAAACAGCTGAACTGAAGTTAAAATAAAGGTTTCTATTGAGACTATGTTGCCGTTTTTTTTTTTTTTTTTTCCCCCACCAGGCATGTTGCTTTTTGGTCTTTTTCATTCCAGGCTAGGGAGCAAAAAGTTGATTATCAATCCACAGATTTTTCACTACGTTAAACATGGCTTGCAATTGGGCTACTTAAAGCATAATTACAGCCCTCCTTTCCAACGCCTCTGATCTGGGAAAGACATTCGGAAGGGGACCCCGCAGTTTTCTTTGCCGCCGCAGACCCCAGAACATAGAAAAAATTGGGCTTTAAGGGCTCCCCCCCAGTTGACTGATAGGAAAACTTCTACATGTCAGTCAATCATATTAGTTTGGGGGTATCTCAAAGAACACGTAAAAATGTAAACTGAAAAAAAAACAGGGAGAAAGAGAAAGAGAGAGAGACAGAAAGAAAAGAAAAGGAAGGAAGGAAGGATGGAAGGAAGGAAGGAAGGGAAGGAAGGAAGGAAGGAAGAGAAAGGAAAGAAAGAAAGAGAAAGAAAGAAAGAGAAAGAAAGAAAGAAAGAAAGAAAGAAAGAAAGAGGAAGGAAGGAAGAGAAAGGAAGGAAGGAAGGAAGAAAGAAAGAGAAAGGAAAGAAGGAAGGGAAGAAGAAAGAAAAAGAAGGAAGGAAGGAAGGAAGGAAGGAAGGAAGGAAGGAAGGAAGGAAGGAAGGAAGGAAGAAAGAACAAATAAACCTTACCAGCAGTCTACTGAAAATCCATTTTAGACTCAATCTAGAAGACAGACTGTGGAGACAGGCAGCTCAATTCTCTGCTTTACAACTTCTATTTTAAAACCAAGCCACATCCACCTGTTCTTGACATCTGCATTCAGACATCTTGACCGTCAGGTCAGAAAACATTGCAAGCCGTTTCAGACTCTTTTAATGTTCCACTTGGGAAAGAAAGAAAGTCAGATCCATTTGACTGAACAATCAAAGCTATTCAATGCCATTCAACCGAAAGTTGCCTTCATTGATAAAATAAAGAAAATGGGAAATCTCAGGTAAGTTGAGTTCTTGTGTTAGGGAGTGCTTTATTGATTTTCATAGGAAAGATCAGCTGTATTACATCTTCTTTCTTTTTTTAAAAAATAAAACTTTAAATCACGTTTAGGATGTTGGAAATCTTTAAAAAGATCAGTTTGCCATTCATTCTCCTTTACTTAAACTTGCCAAATCTTCTCCAAATTTAAGAAATATCCCTTTGTTTCCCTCCCTCCCAATTCAAGAATACAGTTATGGACCTTTTTCAAAAATTCACCACAAACACATGTCTGAAATATCCAAAAGGATTCATGTTATCTTCTAAAGTGAAAACAAATAATCCGCTATTAATTTCAAGCATGTCACACCAATACTGTCAAATTCCGTTGTTGACAACGAGCTGGGAAATTACACAACATGTTCCGGAGGCCTTTGTGTTGGGCACTTCAAGACGGTCAACACCGATGAGGTTGTTTATTTGGCTAAGCAATTCCTTTATGGTTCAGATTTAGAAATATCTTCAATACCGTAAGGGAAGTCTTTATATATAGCAATATCTATTAGGCTACTCAACTTCTGTTTTCTGTGCTTGGAAATTTTAACTGTGCTAATATATTTTAAAGATTTCATTGTAAGCACAGCCATAAAGAGAGCAACGCAACAGCTGTAGGAAGCCCACACAAGACACACTTTCTTAATGACTCGCATTACACCAGGGCTCTTCAAACTTGGCCACTTTAAGACTTGTGGACTTCAATACCCAGAATTCCTCAGCCAGCCATGAATTCTGGGAGTGGAAGTCCACCAGTCTTCGATTTTGGAATTGTGGGTTGTTGAAGTCCACCAGTCTTAAAAGTTGCCAAATTTGGAGAACCCTTGGCCTAGAGCAGGGGCCTTCAAACTTGGCCCTTTTATGACTTGTGGACTTCAACTCCCAGAATTCCTCAGCCAGGCACACGTGCCTGGCTGAGGAATTCTGGGAGTTGAAGTCCACAAGTCTTAAAGGGGCCAAGTTTGAAGAGCCCTGCGTTACACCTTTAACAAGCACCTAACTTTCCTGATGGATTCCACTAATTCTTCCCACACACATCAGCGAAGAGAGTCCAACATTTGTTCCAGCAGTTAAGAAAAGAAGTAAATTGTGTGTCTCAAACTACCGTGGTAAAAAGTAATATTCTAACACTTTACCTGAGTTTTACACCTTACAATGTGTAGCTCAATTTCAATTTTATCCTATTACTACCTGTTGCATATCACGGGGTCTCCAAACTCAGCCACTTTAAGACTTGTGGACTTCAACTCCCTTGCTGACTGGGGGATTCTGGGAGTTGAAGTCTACAAGTCTTAAAGCGGCTACGTTTGGAGACCTCTGCTGCATACAATGGGATAAAATCAGTTATTGATTTTGGCTGTGGTTTGTTCTCCGTGCTTGTTTCAGAAATATAATTTCTGAATGTTTCATCACCAAACTAGGTAACATCATCAGCAGGATTTTTTTTGTCCTATTCTCCTTACCTCATAAATGTCTTGTGTGCCAGTTGGGTCAGTTGGCCGTACGATTGGTTGGTTGGTTGGAGCTATATTTGAATTCTGAGCAGCTGATTGGTCCTCTTGTTGATTGGCACTTGGAATGGTCTGGTTTCTTACATAGTGATATGTTGGATCTAGATCAGGGGTCTTCAAACTTGGCCCTCTGATGACTTGTGGACTTCAACTCCCAGAATTCCTCAGCCAGCGTGAGGGAACTAAGACCCCTTTATGACTTGTGGACTTCAACTCCCAGAATTCCTCAGCCAGGCATGCTGGCTGAGGAATTCTGGGAGTTGAAGTCCACGAGTCATAAAAGGGCCAAGTTTGAAGACCCCCGATATAGACTTTAAGAGGAGTGGAGTTCAGCTCCCAGAATTCCTCAGCCAGCATGCCTGGCTGAGGAATTCTGGGAGTTGAAGTCCACGAGTCATAAAAGGGCCAAGTTTGAAGACACCTGATCTAGATCGATATGCCTGTTTATTGCTCCTTTGGGGGGATACCGGCCTCGATAAACTCACGTGCGTGGCGGGTGTTGGTATGCCCCACAACTTTTGTTCCTTCCCAGTTGAATTAGTGTTCTTTATCATCAATGGGGTTTGAGATCAGGGATTTTGGAGAACAAAAATAAAAAAACAAAAGAAAACAAGTTTGGAGGACAAACCACAGCCCAAATCTAAAACCCGAGCTACAAGTATTTTCTATTATTTCGTATGTTATTGATCTTCTGGAGGGATAATTAAATTTAAAAAAAAACAGCGAAAGTAATGTGCCACTACCAAAAATGTAAGTATTAAAACAGAGGTCCCCAACCTTTTCGGCACCAGGGACCAGTTCCGTGGAGAGAGGTTTTTCCACAGACCAGAGGGTGTGTGGTTTTGTGTGCTGCCTGCATCTCACGGATGGGACTTTGCTTGTTTCTGTGGACCGGTTGTGGGCGTGCTGTGGCCCGGTACCGATCCATGGACCGGAGGTTGGGAACCCCTGTATTAAAAGATGTACCCCATTCTACCAAGGAAGTCACAAGTTCCCATTTCATTGAGCATCAAACTCCACAACGAACCTTCCATGGTTTCACGCTTCAAAGAGTTCCAGAGGTTGCATTCCCTACGTTATTTTAGTGGACCACTTTGGGGAGCTGCCGAGGTCTCGCCTACGTTAGATGCCGTCAACCGAGCCCGTGAGATCGTGTCACCGTTCGAGAGAGGAAGAAGAGAGAAGAAGAAGCGGAGGCCACTTACGTTGTTCATGTATTCGGTCAGCAAATCCTGCAGGGCCTGTCTCACCGCGTTACACTCGGCCACAATTCTCTCCCGACGGTCGTCGCGGGTGCAGGACGAGTCGGCCATGAGGGCAGCCCCACTGATGATGCTCTCCAATCGCTCTTCAAGGGAGGGCCGAAACCGGGCTTCGCTGAACGTCATGGGATCTAAAATGATCTTGTTCTGCAAAAACACAAAACAAGCATGAGGCTTGTTGGTAAAAGCTGCGACCGAGTAGCATCGCAAGTTTGAAAGAGAAATTATTATTATTTATTGTTATTGCTTATTAAACTTAGATACTGCTCATTTTGCCCAGATGTGATGCTAGGCAGCTTATTATCTATATCTGTCTGTCTGTCTGTCTGTCTGTCTGTCTGTCTGTCTATCTATCTATCTATCTATCTATCTTTCTCTATATCATCTATCTATCTATCTATCTATCTATCTATCTATCTATCTATCTATCTATCTATCTATCTAGCTAGCTAGCTAGCTAGCTAGCTAGCTAGCTAGCTACTAGCTATCATTTATCTATCTAGCTATCATTTATCTATCTAGCTATTTATCATCCATATCAGTGGTGGCGAACCTGTGGCACGGGTGCCAGAGGCGGCACTCAGAGCCCTCTCTGTGGGCACGCATGCTGTTGCCCCAGTCCTGGGCCTTCAACTGGGTTTTATAAAACCTTTTCGCTTTAGGCCTCCGCCACCATGTGCAAAAAAAAAAAAAAAAAAAAAAAAGGTTCAATCAGTCAATTTCAACTTCTCGCGGGGGAAAAAAAGATCTTGCAAAGTTGGAATTGATTGATTGAACTTTTTAGTCCCACCCAGTCTGCCATTACCACCGCAGCCATGCCTACCCAATGGGCCATGCCCACCCAATGGGCCACACCCACCCGGCACTCGACGATGCATAAGTGGGTTTTGGGTTGCAGTTTGGGCACTCGGTCTCTAAAAGGTTCACCATCACTGATATCTATCTATCTATCTATCTATCTATCTATCTATCTATCTATCTATCTATCTATTATGAAATTTATTTGCTGCTTTTATTACAACCAATTAAAACAACAAGATAAAACATTAAAGCGTTAAAGCATTAAAATAAATTAATGTTAACACTCAAACTGGCTTACAAACTAACAAAGGTGTGCAAGGAAGAAACGTACATTAAACAATTAATTAATTTTGCCACCCATCTACCCTACAAGCGGACTCTAGGGCAACTTAGCGATTATAAAACAAATTTTAAAAAATAGTTAAAAGGATTAAAGATAGCAGTAAAAAATATAGCAATGAGCTTTGAAAACCTAATTATTTATTTACCTAAGCCGCATAATTGTTTGTTTCTTTTTTCAAAAGTCAACTGGACTTCCTTTTTTTTTTTGAAAAAATTTCACTGCACATTCAAGGAGCTTCGTAGGTTCTCTTTTTCGGAGCTGAAGCAGCTTCTTAGATGAGAAGTGAAATGTCTTCAAAGAAAAAAAACAACAAGGAAATCCAATTGCCTTTTGAAAAAAACAACTTTGGGACAAAGTGACCTGGATGATTGAGTGTCTCCATAGACCAGTGGTTCTCAACCTGTGGGTCGGGACCCCATTTGGGGTCAAATGACCATTTCATGGGGGTCGCCAAACAACACAGTCCGCCATTTCCCCCCCCCCCTTTTCCTTAGCTGTGCTACTCCCTTTTATTCTATTGGCTTTTGAAAGCCAATAGAATAGACTCTCTTGAATAGAATCTAATTCTATTGGCTTTCAAAAGCCAATAGGAATTGTCCAGGCTGTCTCTGCCCTGCTGAGCCCGCCAAAGTCCCATTCTGCAAACGGTGCTGCACCAGTTGAGTAGTCCTCGACTTACGACCGGTTGAGTAGTCCTCGACTTACGACCGGTTGGGGGGTCGCGGCATTAAAAAGGTTGAGAACCACTGCCATAGACACTTATCCGTCTCTTGTTTATATACTGCATTCCTAAGCCATCTAGAAGCGCCTGATCAGTCCCAGCATATTCTTATAACTCACTTCTGTAGGGAGCGGTCATGCCTAATTCCTTGCTTTTGGAGAGATGAATCTAAAACTTTCCAACAAAACAAATCTGCAGCAAAGTTTTGTTTTGTTTTTTAAAAAAGGAAAAGGTCAGTTACCCAGGAACCCAGCCAGCATTTAGAAAGGATTAGATTTTTGGAGCAGGTACAGTCTCCAAACCAGATTACCAGAACTGAATGCCACTTGAAAAACAGATTAGACTGTATGTTGTTGCCCCCTTGATCACATTCATCTTTCCTTGTGTTGTGTAAAGCAACAGAGCTTTCCATCCGCAGCTGAAGCAGCAGTGGGAAGTGTAGGACATTGTACAACAATAGAAAGCAATATTTGTTCTGGAGGGAAGGGAACCATTTCTTTGCGAGGGGGCGCTTGGGGAACATTTTATCATTGCACTAACGCCTCCTGCGGCTTCCTGCAATTTGATTTGAAGGGTTAGGGCAGTGATGCAGAATCCACAATGACTTATATGCACCTTTGTGGAATTGTTTATCTCAAGGCCGAGTTACAAGCCCGTCCTAGTTTCTATGCAACTCACAGCGGATCTCAGCTCTGTAGGCTAACTGAATTTTCGGAGAAAGACAGGATACAAATCGCATCGTTCATGACACACAGAACAGAATGTCAGAGTTGGAAAGGGACCTTGGAGGTCTTCTAGTCCAACCCCCCGCTCAGGCAGGAGAGCCTACATACCATTTCAGAGCATTTCATGACATAAACGGCAAGATGGGCAGCAACTAAATTGAGTAAAGTCCGCCCAGGGTTATCCTGTGGTAAAATGGGCGGCTAGCAAAATTAATAAAAAAAAATAAAATAAAGTAAAATAGAAATAAAATAAAATAATAAAATAGAAATGAAATAGAAATGAAGTGAAATAGAAATAAAATAATAAAATAAAATGATATAATAAAATAAAATAGAATTAAAGTAAAGTAAAATAATAAAATAAAATAATAAAATAAAATGATAATAAAATAAAATAGAATTAAAGTAAAGTAAAATAATAAAATAAAATAATAAAATAAAATGGTAAAATCAAATAGAAATAAAGTAAAATAAAATAATGATAATAAAATAAAATAATAAAATAAAATGATATAATAAAATAAAATAGAAATAAAGTAAAATAAAATAGAAATAATAAAATCAAATAGAAACGAAATAGAAATAAAATAGATAGAATAGAATAGACTAAAAATAAAAATAATAAAATAGATATAATAGAATAGAATAATGAATAGAATAGAATAGAATAGAATAACAGAGTTGGAAGGGACCTTGGAGGTCATCTAGTCCAACCCCTTGCTCAGGCAGGAAAGCCTATACCATATCATCAAATGGTGAACAAGTCTCTTTTTTAAAACTTCCAGTGTTGGAGCTTTCACAACTTCTGGAAGGATTAGAATTAGAATAAGAAATAAGAATAGAATACAATAGAAAATAAGAATAGAATAGATAGAATAAGAAATAAGAATAGAATAGAATAGAAAATAAGAATAGAATAGAAAATAAGAATAGAATAGAAAAGAATAAATAGAATAGAGTAAGAAATAATAGAATAGAAAATAAGAATAGAATAGAACAGAACTGAACAGAACAGAATAAGAAATAAGAAATAAGAATAGAATAGAATAGAATAGAATAGAATAGAATAGAATAGAATAGAATAGAATAGAATAGAATAGAATAGAATAAACCAGCACATCAAAGCAAAGAAACTTTGGCCAGAAGGGAAGAAATTGTTTGATGCACTCCCCACTAGATGTCGCTATAGCACAAGAAATCATCTTTCTAACCTCTCAAGATCCAGAACTTGGTCAGAAGGAAGAAGCCCTCAAGAAAACCACACCCGTCATAATTTTACAGGGCGAGTGCAGTCTGCCTTTAAATCATCCTTCATTCACATGTATATTGCGGTTTCAAGTAATTCTCGGTCCGTTCGGAATCAACAATTAAATTTCATTGAAATGTAATGAAAATAATCAAGTTTTGGACATATGCCAAGATAGCTGTTAAACTGAATGACCTGGTGGGATACTTGGTAGCCAGTGCAAAATCAGTGTGATTCTTCCAGGATGGAAACTAGAATTTCATGGCAAATGTTCTCAGTTGGCAATAAAAGGAGAACTTTTATTGAATAAAAGGAGTATTTACCTCAAGCCAGTTTTTAACCTGGTTAATTCCCCTACAATACATTCCTCAACTATGAGCATCACAGAGTGATTTCACCCTGGCGTTAAACGGTAAAAACCATGAGGATCTTCTATTTTGTTGTTCTTACAGATAGTCCTCATTTAGCGACTGCCTCGCACAGTGACCACTCACAGTCAGAATGCTGATGAAAAAGTAACTTGGCAACCAAAGCCTCACTTTTACAACCTCTGCAGGGCTTGTTATAAAGTGGCAAAAGGGGAACACGTCACCCCAGGATACGGCAACTGTCATAAACGTGAGTCAGTTGCCAAGCCTTCAGGCCCTTTGGAGAATAGCTTGACTCCCTCTTCTTTGGGGCAGTCCTTGAGATACTGGAAGACTGCTATCATGTCCCCCCTTGTCCTTCTCTTCGTCAAACTAGACATACCCAATTCCAGCAACTGTTCCTTGTATGTTTTAGCCTCCAGTCCCCTGATCATCTTTGTTGCTCTTCTCTGCACTCTTTTTAGAGTCTCAACATCTTTTTTACATCGTGGTGACCAAAACTGGATGCCGTATTCCAAGTGTGGCCTTACCAAGGCCTTGTAAAGTGGTATTAATGCTTCACGTGATCTTGATTCTATCCCTCTGTTAATGCAGCCTAAAACTGTGTTGGCTTTTTTGGCAGCTGCAGCACATGGCTGGCTCCTATCTAAGTTGTTTTAACAAACACTAATTGAACGAGGTCAGTCTACTACACGTAGTCCTGGACTAACAATATCCACTGAGACTCGAACTGTGTCCAGATCCCAATTGGGCTGCAGTTGTAAATCGAAGCACCAATGTGACCGGATGGGGGTTTTTGGACCATTTTTGTACTGGTTGTTAAAAGACATGGTTGCTGAGTCCGACTCGTGCCGTGGTTAAGCCAATTCTTTCTCCTGAACGGGCCTTTCTCGCTGGAAACCGACAAATAAAGGTCACAAATCATGGCCACGGGACGCTGCAA